AAAACAACCCCTTATGCCAGGAGGCACTAGAGCATATAAACTGACTGGTAACTTTGGGAATTCGGGAGTTCTTCTCCCCCACCGCCTGCGAATCAAGACCATCAAGCATCGCTGGACCCCGTGGGCGGTGACTATGGACATCTATCTACTCTCAGCTTTTCTTTCCCTTACTCCCCCTGGCTCTTATCCTGCCTTTCTCTCCCCTATACATTTTTCTCCTCCCCAGAAAAGTTACCTATTGATTATGACAGCACCCCAAAAAAAATGTTCACCTATCTGTTGATACAAAAATGTTAACTTACCTGTTGATACAAAACTGTTGAAATAAATCTTATATATTTTCATACACCGATTATTTAGCGTCGCTTCGCTTTAATCCACCCCAAAGGAATTTTTGATAGAACCTGGGTTACCCCCCTCCCCTCTCTTTTCCTGGGGCGGGTCGTAACATTTTTTGGCGTCACGGACAGGATCCTTTGGATGTGGTGGAGTAATCGGTGTAGTCTAAAACTGGTACCGAGGGCGAGTCAAATGGTGACTGTTCCCTCGCAGTAAAATTATAGTAAGAATTTTTCTCCTCTCGGTGTGACCCGGGCACATCAGACCTGTTGAAAGGTTTCCTGGTGTGGCCTGGACCTGTTGAAAGGTTCTCCGGTACCTGGACCTGTTGAAAGGTTTTCCAGGAGAGAGTCAAACCAGCCCTCAGAGGGTTAAGGGGGAGAAAGACATTAACCTAAGCTGGGTTAATGACTGAGGCGAAGGGGATGACACCCCGGGTTGAGTTATATGGGGATTATTCCCTCCTGATAGCTATCCTTGGTTTAGAACTGTTTTTTTTTGGGTGCTGTCTTAGGCTTGTTCCTTAGAGCAGTGCAAAGGCAAAAATTAGCTATTCAAAAATCTGTAAGTGAAGTGACAAAATCTTTCCAAGAGTCAATGAGAACTTTGCAGGACCAACTAGGAAAAGAGGCTATTCAAAAATCTACCGGTGAGGTGATAAGGTCTCTTCAAGAGACAATGAAGGCATTACAGGAGCAATTAGAAAAAGAACGCCTGCAGTTAACTGCTGAACGCCAGGCACTGGAAAAAGAGAGAGAGATTAACTCATTGCTTAGGTCAGCCCTTGAAGATGAGGAGGAACAAAATGAAAGGCTTAAAAAAATACTGGAAATGAAAAATTGTGAATTGCGAGACATCAATTCAAAATACCCTAAACCGGTAGATGTTAACAAATCCCTGTACCCCTCTGGGGAATTAGAAGAATTGAAGCAAAGTTACCCGGAGGACGGGGTAATACATATGCGTCCCCTCATTAAAACTGAAACCACTGGCCAGGGGGCAGATCGGCAAACTACCACACGAATTACCCCGTACACGGGGGAAGCACTGGCCAAAATTCAGGAAAAATATAGCCGTAAGGCCAGTGAGTCAGAGACTGAATATGTGTGGAGGGTGTCCCTTACTGGGGGAGATCGGATTTTGTTGAGTGAAGATGAGGCCAGAGGATTTTGGGGCCCTGGGGTTTTCCTGACCACAAATGATAACCGAGCCCCGTGGCCACTGACCCAGAGAGCTGCCTACTGGGCAGGCGGGTTAGACCCTATAGAAAGGGGAGATCCTCACACAATTAAAACCCCCACAATTGGCCACATTGTCGAAAGTGTACAAAAAACTGCATGCCTCCAATTAATCCATACAAGACTGTTGGACTCGCAGCGACATTCCCCTATGGAACTCGAGGCGGATCCACAAAGATTTCCTGTCCTAATCCGAGGTCTGCCTGATGCACTAAAAACCCATGCTAAACAACTACAAGAACGTATAATGGCAACCCCCAGGCCCGGAAGAAGGGGTGCTCCACCAGGAATGACCTGGTTGGAGGTGGCCCAAGAATTAGTAACTACTGGTAGACAGTTGGGGATCTCTGATACAAGTAGTTTTAAACAGAAAACAGATATCAGAAGGGTGGGAGAAACCCGAAAACCACCTTTGGCAGGTAATCGTCAGCAAAATGTGATACCTAGTGAGCGAACAAGGTACAGTTTGTGGGTGGAGGGTGTTGAGAAAGGAATTCCTCGAGAGGTGATGGACAAATTACCTACAGCTAATTTGGAACACTTGATAAAGCACTGGGATAAGATCAAAGAGCATGAGTCACCCCCGGAGGGCAATTCTCCCCAGGAGCCCAACACTGTAGTTCCCTCAGCCCCACCAGAAAACAGTTTAACCAGTTCCCAGCCGGGAAACAGGGTTCGCCTCTCCCAGTAAGTGAGCCGGGGAGCGGTCAGTGGATTTACATGAGAAGGCTCACAGAAAACAGTCAGGGAGATATGGTGATCACTTTCCCTCTCGGCCCTTTTAAATCTCTAGTTACATTCGTAGTAGACACGGGTGCACAGATCTCAGCACTCCAAACTGAAGCTGCTACTCAGTGTGGCGTTAAGCCAGACAAACAAAAGATATGGGTAACTGATGCTTTCGGCAAATCCCAACCCCAACACACTGCTCGAGTGAAATGCTGGTTACCTGGAGATGAGACAGCCACAGAAACTACCATGATTGTAGGGCCATTACCAGCTAACATCCTGGGGCTAGACCTGTTAAAAGGAAGGGCCTGGACAGATGCCAGAGGGAGAGAATGGGTGTTTGGTCTCCCACCCCCCTCTGTCCGTCTGTTGCAGACCGCTCCAAGTCTGCCCCCTTGTAAAATAACCAACGTAAAACCCTACCCGCTTCCTTTAGGGGCACGAGAAGGAATTGCTCCAGTAATTGCAGAACTGCAGGAACAGGGAGTGATTATCCCCATACACTCACCATACAATTCACCGGTATGGCCTGTTCGCAAACCCAATGGAAATTGGAGGCTTACAGTAGATTACCGACGTCTCAACTCTAACAGTGGCCCCCTGACAGCTGCAGTACCTAACATAGCCGAGCTGATTGCTACAATTCAGGAGCAGGCCCATCCAATTCTTGCAACTATTGATGTCAAAGATATGTTTTTCATGGTTCCCTTACAGGAGGCAGACCGAGATCGTTTTGCTTTTACCTGGGAGGGTAATCAATATACCTTTACTCGCCTACCTCAGGGATACCGACACTCCCCTACCCTGGCCCATCATGCACTCGCACAGGAGCTTGCTCAAATTACTCCTGAGGAAGGGACTAAGATATATCAATATATTGATGACATTTTAATTGGTGGCTCTGATGTCGTACCGGTGAGCCAGACCCAGAAAAATATTATCGCTCACCTAGAGAGTCTGGGACTCCAAATTCCCACAGAAAAGGTACAATCTGCTTCCTCTGAAGTAAAATTCCTAGGTATATGGTGGAAAGGGGGAGCTGTGTGCATCCCTCCTGAAACTTTAAACACCCTAGAACAAGTAAAGATGCCAGAGAGTAAAAGAGAGCTCCAGCATGCTTTAGGTTTGTTGGTTTTTTGGAGAAAACATGTTCCAGACTTCTCTATTATTGCCCGCCCCCTGTATGACCTAACACGAAAAAAGGCAACATGGGAGTGGACCCCCATGCATGAAGAAGCCCTAAAACTACTAATCTTTGAAGCTAATGTATACCAAACTTTGGGGCCTATACATCCCACAGACCCACTCCAGATTGAGTGGGGGTTTGCAATTCACAGTCTGTCCATACATATGTGGCAGCGAGGACCTGAGGGTCCCACTCGCCCCATTGGTTTTCTTTCTCGCAGCCTAAAAGATGCTGAAAAACGATACTCTGCTTGGGAAAAAGGCCTATTTGTGGTCTGTCTAGCCCTGCAGGAAGCAGAAAAGACAATTCGACACCAGTCAATCATTCTGCGAGGGCCTTTTAAGGTTTTAAAGCCAGTAATATCTGGAACCCCCCCTCCCGCAGGGGTGGCTCAGAGAGAAACAGTCCGGAGATGGTATGCACAAATTGATCATTACTACCACTCTCGACAAATAACTGAGGGAGCTCCAAAAATACTCCAAATACAGGAACAATCTTGTAAGCTACCTGATCCAAACCCTCCTCCTTCCTGTATAAAACCTGCTCCTGCTTTTGAACCCAACTTAAAAAATGTTTGGTTTACAGATGCTTCTGCCAGGCGAGAGGGAAAAGTGTGGAAATATCGAGCAGTAGCCCTACATGTTGATTCAGGGAACAGGCTAGTGACAGAAGGAGAAGGGAGTGCTCAGGTTGGGGAGTTAGTAGCAGTATGGAGTGTATTTACCAGGGAAGCAGACACTGAAGGAGACACATACATTTACACAGATTCCTATGCAGTATTTAAAGGATGTACAGAGTGGCTCCCTTTTTTGGAACAAAATCAATGGGAAGTGAATCAAGTATCAGTGTGGCAACAAGAAAAATGGAAAGAGATTCTAAACATTGCTAGACAAAAAACGTTCCTTGTGGGGTGGGTTGCTGCGCACCAAACAGGTAACAATCCCGCTCATCTGTTAAACAATCAAGTAGACTCACTGACACGGTTAGCTAAGATAACAATAGAGGGAGAGGGACAAAATTGGGAACGTCTGTTAGAATGGTTACATGTAAAAAGAGACCACTCGGGAAACAGAGATCTGTTTAAAGAAGCAGCTAGTAGAGGGTGGCCAGTTACCAGAGAACTGTGCAACACAGTAATCTCTGCCTGTAGTCTCTGCCGCACTCGGCTGAAAGATCATGACCCACTGAAAGATCCACCCCTACACCTGAGGGATAACAAGGGATTGTGGGATACCTGGCAAGTAGATTACATTGGTCCTTTCAGAATTTCTTATGGAAAACAATACATCCTGGTCGGAGTAGAAATAATATCAGGGCTAACCCTGGCTGAAGCCGTGCGACGAGCCACGGGAGAGAATACTGTGAAAATTCTAAAACTATGGTTCAGTCACCTGCCCAAACCAAAGTCTATCCAATCAGACAATGGGAGCCATTTCACTGCCGGGGTGGTACAAGAATGGGCCCGAGAAGAGGGAATTCAGTGGACTTTCCACACTCCATATTATCCACAAGCGAATGGTATTGTAGAACGTACCAATGGGCTCTTGAAGCGAACCATAAAACCTCATAACCCTGAATGGGCCTCCAGAGTTACTGATGCAGTAACCAAAATCAATAGCCGATGGGGAATAAATGGTTGCCCTCGAATCACAGCATTCTGCCCTGAACCTCCCACTATTCTACCGAGGGAGAATAAAAGTAAAGATCCTGTAAAACTACTCCATTATCCAGGCCAACCTATATTAGTAAATCTACCCTCTGTGGGACAGGTGCCACTCACTTTAAAAACCCCGGTTAACCCTCATACATGGGTAGCCACAGATGCTCACGGGAAGGACCATCGAATAAACACTCGATGGATTCTTCCTTCTTTTTAACAATCGGTCCGTAGTGGGCCAGATTTGTTCTTTTGCAGAAACCTGCCAGCAGATGAGATCAAACTGCATGGAACCAATGGAGCCTCAATTACAGCAAGAGGCAGAAGAGATAACTGCCCCCACAACTGCTTCTATTATCAACTTACAAGTACTCCATGAGAAAACGAAATAGCAACAGGACTGAAGACTTATACTGTTCTTAATGTTTTTATCTTAATAACTTTGTAATATGCATGCCTATATGTATTTTTGTCTCAATATGTAAAAGTTTGCCACAAACATTGTGTTTGTGCTCCCTCTACTCCCAGAATTACTTGTGTTATCAGCTTATTAATAATTGTTGACTTATCTGGGTTTTGTTTTTTTTTTATCATGAACAATTCACTGATAAGATTGTGTAGGACGAGCCATTTTATGTACTGCTAGTTTCGTTTTGCCAAGTTTGTTTTATTATTTTGTTGGGGGGCAGGTTAGTTTGGGAGAAGCTTTTGAATGTGAGCAACTTACTGGTAAAATTGTATAAGATGTACTGTTAATTTGATTTTTGTCAAGTTCATTTTGTCCTTTTAAATATCTCTCTCGATTGAGAAACTCAACCAAATATAACCTGGGAGTTAGTACAAGTATTTATGCATATTTAGAATTATATGAATATGCATTATATACATTAGTCTTCTGCCTTGAAAGGCATTGAATTTTATATTTGGTTAAATTTAACAAAAACGGAACTAAATTTAGGCCTAAAAGAAAACATAAGAAAGCCTTTTACCAGCTCCCAAGTAACTCAGTGTTTTTTGATGTATAATTTCAAATATTTGTATGTATGTTTGTAACCTCATTAATGTTAAGAAATTTGATTGTAGTCATTGAGATCCTATTACATCCCCTATGACTACTCACGGGGTGGAGAGAGTAACTAGTGCAAATTAGCTTACTATGTTATTATACAATTAGCTTGTTTTTTTTTTGAAGGGGGGGAGAACTGTAATGCATTAGGGCAATCTCTTCCTTTCCTTCACTCTTCTGTCTCCCTGTCCACTATACGAAAAGCACCGCCCACAAAGAAGATTCACAGAGAACGACAAAAGAAGGAAAACTATTGAATGCATAAATCACGGGGTGGTGTCAGAGACTGAAATAGTTGATGATTTATGCATCCTCGGGTTTTTTGACACACCTGCTGGGAAGTAACCGAGCTTGCGGGCTCTTGAGTGTTCACGGTTCCTGGAGAACAACGAGCCGAGCTTGCGGGCTCTTGAGTGTTCACGGTTCCTGGAGAACAACGAGCCGAGCTTGCGGGCTCTTGACTGTTTCCTCCAAAAAAAAAAACAACAACAACGGACCTCGGGCTTTGACACACCTGCTGGGCGATTAGTACCACAAAAAAAGGGAAACAACGGACCTCGGGCTTTGACCAAAAAAGGGAAAAACAACCCCTCATACCAGGCATATAAACTGACTGGTAACTTTGGGAATTCGGGAGTTCTTCTCCCCCACCGCCTGCGAATCAAGACCATCAAGCATCGCTGGACCCCGTGGGCGGTGACTATGGACATCTATCTACTCTCAGCTTTTCTTTCCCTTACTCCCCCTGGCTCTTATCCTGCCTTTCTCTCTCTCCTATGCATTTTTCTCCTCCCCAGAAAAGTTACCTATTGATTATGACAGCACCCCAAAAAAAATGTTCACCTATCTGTTGATACAAAACTGTTAAGATAAATCTTATTAACTTACTTGTTGATACAAAACTGTTGAAATAAATCTTATATATTTGCATACACCGATTATTTAGCGTCGCTTCGCTTTAATCCACCCCAAAGGAATTTTTGATAAAACCTGAGTTACCCCCCCCCCTTCTCTTTTCCTGGGGCGGGTCGTAACAGTAGTGTCTTGAGTTTGCCCAGCTTAAAACTGCCAGCACTAGAGCATTACTTGTTCCTAGGGCACTAGCTCTTTCCTTTACATCCTGGGTTTATTTGGTGTTTAAACAATATCATGGAATCATAGTATGGTTTGGGTTGGAAGGCACTTTAAAAATCATCTAGTTTTGACCCTCCTGCCATGGGCAGGGACAGCGTTCCTGAGACCAAGATGCATAGTTATGTGTTCAACTGTCTTGCTAACCCCTCAGTAGCAGAACTTGATTTATGTGATTATAATGAACAACTTAAGTACAAGTTAAACTCAGAGGAAAGCTGAATCTTAAGCAGTAATCCCTATCTAACCAGAACCTGCATGCTTTTCCTGGCATTTCCCCGAACAGGTACATCACCTACTGTTTGGGCTAAACTCTCATCATTTTCCAGCAATTCTTAGGAATGCCAGAACCAGAGAGCCCTTAGGTATATAAGTAGCATCAAGAAGTCAATTAACAATCTGGGTTTGAGTGTCAATAGTAAGACTTTATTTCAGGTATTCTCTTTAGTCAGTTAAGATATCTTGTGTTGTCCAGTACACTCCCTAATCAGTGCACTCTTCCATCAGTGCACTCTTTCTGGTATGCTTGTATAGATTTCCCTAGGAAGTGTTGACAGTAGTCTCAAACCAGTGCTGTAGCTAAGGAAAGAGAGATCAAAAACCTTTTCACTGTTTTCATTCATTTCTCTTTGCCACAATCAGCAAACATAATGAAATGAGAGTTTCTGTGGCTTTAGGCTGCTGCTCAGTGGAAAATTGCTATCACTTTGGGCACCTCTTCTGGTTGTATTGGTGGTTTCCTCTGGCTGCCAGGCTGCAGGTATTTCTTTATTGTGGGGATATTGCTTATTCTTGCTTTAAAACTCTACAAAACAAAATCAAAACAGCACTGTGCTTAAGAAGCATTGTAACTGTCAGACATTTTGATGTTATCCATGCTCTAAAAGTAACATTATGCATTGATGCTGCAGAAGAAACTACATGGTTCCCTCTATTATGCTTTTGTGGCTGCAAAGACAGAAGCTGGCAATAACCACCAGTATTTGAGGCCAGCTAAAAGTACTTAGCATATTTGGTTATTTTCTAAGTCACTTCTCACCCTCCCACTCTCCCCTGTTTCTCAGCCAGTTTAAATCAGTGGTCCTTTCCAATGCATTGTCCATTAAAACTCTCCATTCATTTACCTGCAAGAGAGGAAATTTGGCAAGGATATCAGGTTTGCACTCTTCTGCCATTAAAATGATTTCAAGTAACTGCACATCTGCCCTGCTTAACTGGTTGCCAACAAGAAAGTCTTGTCCATGGTCTTTCAAAACCTAAAAACACAGAACCAGATGATTTTTTTTCTCTCTGTTACTTAATATGATATCTTCAAGGCAAGGTCATACATTGCACAGAGTTGTCCTTGAAAGAAGGAAATGCAGCACAAACACCTGTAGTACAAACAAATGGTGTGATCTTCCTAGGAATGATTAATCAGTCCCTTCTTTACTGTGTTTCTTTCTGTCAGCTCAGCTGTACTCCTCTTGTCTTCCCTTCTGTACCTTAGGTAGTCGATGCTGCTGCATTGAATGCTAAGCTTCATGAGATGCAGAAGGAGCTGTAATGCTTTTACATAGATTGTATGGTAGAGGGGCATCTGCACTTCAGGAGGAATGCCAGATTTACATAAAAGCTGATGTTATAGTTTCTTTTCTCTGAAACAACATACAGATTAAAACATGGACATTTGTAAAGCTCAGCATGTCCTGGTTTTTTGCAGCTTTGCACATCTCCCAGATCTGTAGTGCCTTCTGTCCCCTCTGTAGTGTCCTGTCTCCATCCTCATCCCAGCCCCATCAAAACCAGAACAGTATCTCTAAGTGTTTTCCTCAAGAAAAATTGTTGGTGTAGATTCAGGATGGAATTTCAGGAGAACAGTATTGATTAAGCTACAACATCTTTGCCACATACCTTCTCAAAGGCTGGGAAGTATCTGTTTGTGGCCTTGTCCATCATATTAGCAAAATGTTGCTCCTTCTTATCTGCTGGTTGGATTTCATAGTTCATGAATAACTCATTCAGATCGAATATTCCTTCCACATACATATCAATTCTGAAAGGAACAGATCCAGTTGGTCAAGTCAAACACAGTAGGTCTGAATGCCACAATAGCTACTGGCATAACCCCGCTGAGGTGCTGGGACATCTCCACCTTTTCTATCTGACATCTATAGCTTGGATTAGTTCTCTCCAGAATGCAGTTGCATCAAGGGACATGGGAGGCGCTTGGGTGAAAGACAAATGCAAAGTGCCTAACCCAAACCTAAACACTGTCCCCTTTCCACTTCTCACTAGGGGTGATACTTCTCTGTACTATGTTTTTTCTGAACCTGAGAACAAAACAAGTGCGTCATCTAAACTTGTGTTAAAAATCCAATCAGACCTAGTAAGTTAAACAGTGGGTCTATACAATTCCTAACAAATATCTTGACATTTGTTTACCAGTACTTATTAATTTGAAGCATTTCAAAAGACCTCCAGTCAAACCATGTGCCCTAAGAGTCCTGTTGTTAAATAACCAGTTACTAATGCTAATTCTACTCTAATTCCTGGGTATTAGAAAGAGGAGGTTTTTTGTTCCCATCAAACACATGTCCCTGAGTCTGACGTGCTGAAAATGCCTGCTGTGACATTCTGCAGAAAAAACTGAAGAGGAGCAAGAGTAAGACAGTCTGCACTCCTGACTGCTTTCTTCTGATAACTGTCTTGACCTTGGACTGATGATTCATGAGCAGCCTTGCACCACGCTGCCCATCTAATCGAGCTGGATATCACTGCCCTAGACATCACCTGCAGTCGCAGTCAACACGTGCTGCATGAAGCACTGCTCTATCACCCTGAATTTAGCTGTGAGCTGGGACATTCCTGTGTTACACAGAGATGTAGCGTGAACTGCGGTCTAACAAGAAAATGTGGTACTGTTACAGTACAGGGCTCTCTCCTTCAGGTCCTTCCCGTAGAGGTTGTACTTCGTTGCTATGTAATTGGCAATGGCTCTGGTCTGCACCATCTTCATGCCATCAATCTCCACCATTGGCACTTGCTGAAAGAGCAGGGATCCATCTAGGGAAAAGGAGATAAGACAAGGAGACACTCAGTCTCTGAATGAGAACCATTGGGGGGGGGTCAGGCAAAGTAACCACACATATTATCTTTTATTTAGAATCACTGAATCATTTAGGCTGGAAAAGACTCTTAAGATCAAGTCCAACTGTAAACCTAACACTGCCAAACTCCACAACTAAACCATGTCCCCAGGTGCCACATTTACACACGGTGACTCAACCACTTCCCTGGCAAGCCTGTTCCCATGCTTGACAACTCTTTTGGTGGCAATCTTCCTCATTCCTACAAGAAGGGAGGGAAAATGCTTACCATGAAACAACCATTTCTTAGACACACGTGACTAACTTAATATTACAGCAATCAACTTCTTGAAGATTCTTCAGATTTGAGCAAGCACCCAAATGCAGAACTTTTAGTTTTCATGCCCTGAAAAAGACATGTGCGGCATGGCCCTAACTCACATGATTTTCGTGGAGATTAATACAGATGAGAAGGACTGAAGGATGCGATCCAGCAGTTTCTGTCATGCGTTGGTAAGTATTATGAAAATCTGGACAATTTAAGGACTTTTCAGCATATAATGCAAATAGAAAAGCATACAATATCTTTGTGACTTCTATGCTGACTTTGCACAATGGCATCTCATCTGTACAGGCATGAAGTGGGGAATCACAGGGGAGTTCCATGAGATTCCTGCAAGACCCAAGTATCACTTGATGTGAGTCTGCAGAAGCCTTGACCTAGCAAGGAAGAAGTAAAAAAATACCTCCAGAAAGAGATCACCAGATCACAAGAGCGAGGGAGAATTTTTGCTTTATGGAATACTATTTCAGATCAGATAACTGATCAGTTATGTCTGTCTTTGCATCCACTGTAAGGCGATCATGCTTTCCATCAACGCTGTCTCCGTACAATCCTAAACATCCACTGGTCAGATTATGTGACCAATACATCTGTTTTAGAACAAGCAACAGTCACCAGTATTGAGGCCATGTTGCTGAGAATTCAGCTGCGCTGGGGAGGGCACTTCTCAAGGATGAAGGACCACCGCCTCCCTAAGATCTTGCTTTACGGTGAAATTGCCTCCGGCTGCCGCATGAGAGGAGCTCCGAAGAAAAGATACAAGGACTCCCTGAAAAAACATCTCAGCCTCGGCCACATTGATCATCATAACTGGTCTACTCTGGCCTAAAACCGGGAGGTCTGGAGACACACCATCTTCAAGGTTGCCGTTTCCTTTGAGAACGGACGCAGGATCACTCTTGAGGAGAAAAGACAACGCAGAAAGAATCATATCCTGATGAATGCACCACCTAAGGAGTCTTTCTGCTGTGCCTTTTGCAATCGGATATGTCTATCTCATATTGGCCTCATAAGTCACCAGTGTGCCTGTAACAAACGTGGATAGAGCCTTCCTAAATCTTCGTCGCGAAGCCCAGACATGATGATGAAGGTGATCATGCAGAGAAACTCTCTGCTATTCAGGACGTATTTACATTTATGCTTGTGTCTCAAAATACTTTTTGAAAGGCAGCAGGAGGCAGGAGGGTCAAGTCACTATTCCTGAAGGAGAGCAGGACGGCACATGCCAACCCTTGCTCAGCCATTTTTCAAAAGCCAAGGGAAGAGCCCAGACATGTAATATGATTTGGAGGAAATGTGAATATCACGTTCACAAAGACAAAAGCTGAAGCTAGAAGATGAGTAGTTGCCTTGGGAAGCAGGAATGCATCAGAGATACAGGTTAAACTAGGAGATCTGGAACTCTGTTTTCATATGGATTATAAAACAACAACGTCATAGGCAACCTAAAATGCTAATGAATTTGAAGATGATGTGAGGACAAAAACCTGTATTGTGATAGGACAGGAGGCAATGGACACAAACTGAATCAAAGGAGAGTCAGTCATCTGAACTTACAGAAAGGTTCTTTCACTGTGGGAAGTTACTGTGCATTGGCACAGGTTGCCAGAGAGCCTCCATCCTTGGAGATACTTAGAACTCAGCTGGACATGGACTGGGCAAATGGCTTGTAGGTGGTGTTGCTTGAAAAGGGGAGGTGGCATAGATGATCTCAAGAGGTGCCTTCTGACCTCAGCCCTTCTGTGATTCAGTGAAGATTGAAGCAACTGGGTGGATGAGGCCACCTAACACACTGCAGTGTGTGTCTGTGATACCTCAAGCACAATCAAGTCTAGATTTTCTTTTTAAGAGACTAAGACTTCTTAGGTGTTCTCAGACAAATTATTTTTATTATTATTATTGCTATTGTTGTTATCATTATCATTGTTAGTGTTATTATTAAATAGTGAAGGTATCTTACCCTTCTGTAGCTTTGTCAGATCATCCTTTTTTTCCACAAAAGATTCTTCAAACTGCAAGAAATAGAGAAGAAAAGTTCAGTTGTTGTTCCATGGTTTAGTTTCTTCTTCATTTAGACAATGAAGGCATAACGAGCTGTGTTTGGGGCATTTTATTTTTTAAAAAATAAATAATATTTCAAAGCTTTCTGGCGCATTGGCCATCACCATGACAAAAACCTCACAGCTCACAAAAAATCACCGATCCCCACACTCCTCTCTGCTTCAATATCAGAAAGTCTTAGTGGCAAAAGAGAAAACTTTGCTTTATAATAGAAAGTACCTTCTGGGGTAAGCTATGTTGTAGTAGCAAAATTAGTCTTTTGCCATTTTGAACACTGAAATTTAACTGAAGGTCTTCAGAACTGGAAGTGCTCGACCCCTGGGATCAGAAGGTAAGAAGCCAGGTTCTGCTGCTGTGGTTTTAATTTTTTCTTTCAGTAGCTACAGGGGATAGGCATTTGTGGTGCTACCAGTAGGCCTGGCACAAGATGCGTGGAAGTGAGACTGGAACTTGCCCCTGCTTAAGGTAAGCGCATGGTTGTTGTTGGCTTGGCCAGCAATGCACTAAATGCTGACCTTGAAGCTGCAGGTCAGTCAGTCACATTTTTCATAGGGAACGTTAAAAGTACATATTTGTCACATGCTCTTGGTATAAGAAAACAGAGACAAACCTCAACCCCGGCTGCTGCCAGCAGCCACCGGATTGGTTCCATTCGGCCTCGTCCATTGAAGTAGTGCAGCTTGGGTTTCCCAGACATGTTTCCACGTGCCTGATAGTTTCTTCCTATTTGGAATAAAAAAATAAGTTTTGCAAAATAAAGATTCAGAATGCTGGGTTTGAGTCTCTCATTGGCTCTCAAAGTTGTCCTGTTTGAAACCAATGATTTATAGTTCAAGACTTACTAAAGGAGGTAGAGGTTAGAGTACATTGAGAGACTGCATTGTATCACCTTGCCTTAAAAATGTCTTTTATCCATGCAGTTTCGTTAAGCAGAACTCATGTACTAAGAACCATTGGCCCACTTCAGAGAACAAGTAAACCAAACCCATTTGCATCCAAAGTGTTCTACTCTGAGCAAAAAGCAGACTGTGCTTTCTGTTTGTTTTGGCATTATCTCAGCGTACAGTTTACTGTTTATCAGATACACCATATTAACTCAGCAATTGCTGTGCTTTCACCAGCAGTCATTATGCTCCATTATTAAGAGGCAGGAAGGAATATTTATTCCTCTTCTGAGCATTCAATCTCTTTTACAACACTCTCTTTTCTGGTAATTTCTTTAGGCAAGCTTCCAAAATTATAAAAATTAATTTTGTCTCTGGTAACATCAGATCTGCCTTTACCACAGACAGAGCCAAAGGGTACAATTCCAACTGTGCTGGAACATAAAGCAGTAACAGTTTCTAGGCAGATCACCATCTGCCCCATTCAGAACCACGTGAGCACAGCAGCAGCAAACATGCAGACGGCCCCTGGTTTACACCACTCTCACAGTTATTAACACCGTCTCAACAATAAAGCTAAAGCATTAGTAGCAGCAAAGGGGAAATGGCTAAAACCCCACCATGTTCCCCTTTTAAATAACATATCAGCTTCTCTACAATAGGAAGAAGGACATATAAGGAAATACTCCATACTTCTGAGATCTACATTTCTTTTTCTTCATTCTGTACACCTAGGAAGTAGCTGACTAATATTTTAACATTTCATGCATATAACCTTCATGTTAGTAAAGAAAGTACAAACAATCTGTAAAACCCATTCACTGACTTCATTTTAAATACAATAATTCCCTATGCTTGCCCAAAATCCAAAAAACTTACCTTGTGCACACTATAACTCACTCTAAGCTCTCAGTAGTTCTGCCTGGAGATTATATAGATCTGTAGCCCCTCCCACAAAGAGAATAGCAAGAGGTTCTCTGAATGGGAAACTCCTCTCTCTTAAGGAAATAAAACCAGTTAGGTCTGTGTAGTTACTTTTCACCTACAAAAAATAATTCCTGACTCATGCTGACTATGTACAAATGTAAGATAGATGAGAGGTCATGATGAATGGGAACACCTGTTCCTGCACAAAATGGAATGCTTCCTCTTTTCACTGCTTGGCAACCTGTTAGTTAAAAATAATTGTGATGACTGAAAAACTCACAAAGTTTAAAAGAATACTGTTGTCCCAGTCAGACTTTCATTTTAATATTTCATGGATTTGTACTTTTAACCAATTGCCGCTTTACAACATCAACTGATTCTGCTTGAATCCTTCATAAGCTTCTATTCTGTGCTTAGTGATGGGGATATTCCTTCAGGACATTTCCACTGAATTTCATTCCTGCACATAGGAGGGGTTTTTTATTCTTTTTCTGTCCAAAGTGTTTCCCAGAATTTGACTTGCTGAAAATGCTCACCAAAGACAACTGTAGGAGGCAGTGAACGAAGTACAGCACGAGAAGGCAAACTGCCCTCTGCACTCCTGATACGTTTTGGTGACAACTGTATTGATTTTAAAAAGTCAATGCAGCATAAACTCCCGTGAACCATCCTGCCTATCTAGCTGGTTAATGCTGTTGTAACCATTACCTGCAGTCAAGGTCAACATCTCTATAAAATTCTGCTGAATTGCCCTGAGTGTAATTGCGAGCTGGGATATTTTTCCCGTGTTACACATGCAGGTTGTATGAATTATAGTGTGTCAAATAAAAAACCTCAAGTTGTTTATAGTACAGGGGGCTCTCTTCTTCGGATCCTTCCTGTTCATGTACTTGGCTGCTTTGTAGATGAAAATGATCCTCACCCCATCAGTCTCCACCACTGGTACCTGAGAGACCAATGTAGTCCATGGCTTGATGTAAAAATAAGCTTAACACTTTATTTAGAGCTAGAACCACAGGAGGATAAGGCATCAAAACAGTCACCACTGCAATGGACTGTCTTTCAGGGGATGCCTGGTCCCTGAATGGAACCCTCTGTACCCCATATGGCACAGAAAGAGAGCCAGGCTTCCCAGAAGGGCACTCCTCACTGACAGCATATCCTGTAGCCTCTGCCTTCTTGTTTGGGCTCCTTTCTTTCTTTGGAAAGTGCTGTTCTTCTGTTTTTTCCTACCACATTCATTTTCCAATTTTTTTTTTCCTATTTTTTTTTTCTGTACTTACATCATGGCTATATTAAGCATCAGATTTGCTTACCAACATTGGTTGGAACAAAGTCTCCTTCTATGCAAATGTTTGTCTGCTGCATGAGGCCTCTTCACGAGGCCTCTTCACAAGGCTGTTATCATGTGCTGTAAGTGTATGTAAGCCCTAATATTTTATTTGAAAGTCAATGGAACCTGAATTTCTGTTGCTGTCCTAAATGTGTAGAAAGAAACCACCTCTGCCTTACCTGGCTCTGCAAAACAGATGGTGTTGTTTCTTCCATTACACTTTGTTCAAGTGAATTTCTGGTAGAATCATACAAGGAGTTTGAAATAATTAATTTATGAGGAAAAATAATCAATTTTGCAAGGAAAACATTGCAGAGATATCTTAAAAAATCCAATTCACCCACAAGCCTTAAAGAGGTTATCTTTAAACAAGTCTACTTCTTTAAAAGTGATGCAGTGAGTCTTCTCTTCTTTAGCTCTTATTCTGAAGCTTATTTGCATGCAGAAGATATCTTCTCCAACAAGTTACATTCTGACGATACTAACACCGCATTGATCTTTTTTTGAAATTAATAAATTCCCTACCCTAGAAATAGTTCTTTGCTTCCATATTTTGCCAAGCATTTGATATATCAATAAAGACAAAGCTGCTATTACATTGCCAGAGTAATAGAATGCTTTATTTCTGGTTGGGGTTGTTTTGCTTTTTTAGCACTGTTTTTCACTACCACAATACTAATTTACTGAGCTGGAGTTGATGTTTTGCCTTTCTTTTTCTTCCAGTATTCTGGGTCTCACCAAAGGTGACAAGGCTTTCATCTCTTAAAAACTTTCAACACAGTTTCTACGTAATGATCATCTGGTGGGGGTTTCCTTGGGCTGCCAGGCTGCAGGAACTTACTAATTGTAGGCATATTGCTCATTTTGGTTTTAAATACCTAAAAATAATAAGAAAAATAGAGTAAGACAGAAATTCCAGCACACAGAAACATGATTTACACAGCACAGGCAGATGATCAGTTCATGATATCCCTCTAGCTCCTGAATATATGCATGCTCAATAACAAAATTACCTGCAACTGAGGAAACTCAGACAGCACAGCAGGAATTTTCTCCTCCACTGCTAAAATTGCTTCAATTAGCTGAACATCTGCCCAACTGAATTTGTTGCCCACGAGAAAGTCTTGGCCATGTTGTTTCAAAACCTGGAGAATACAGGAGAATGTGGGCTGCAGATGATAATGGGACATATGATGCCTAGCAGCTAAGCCTCACAGCACAGCTGTAGACCTGAACAGCAATTATATCTGAAATTTCAGGGTGGAGTTTTCAGCTGGAAGCTGTGAGCCTAAATCAATTCTCTGTTGTTGGGGGGGGAAAAATGAACTCTTGTTCTTTTCATGTTCTAGTACACAGACTACAAACTCTGGTTATTCAGTAATGAGGAATGATGATAGGCACTGGGAACAGAGACAAAATCATATGCTTAAGTAGCCTAATAAGAGTCATAGAGTTAGAAATAGGGATAATCGAGAAACTAAGAAGCAACTTAGAGAATTTATAAAACAGTCATTTATTTAATTTAAAGTTATCTCCAATGTTGATACCAGAAAGCAAATTTAGAAATGCAGAATTACAAAGCTAACCAAGAAAAATCCCTGCCTTTGGGAACAGGTTATTATGGTCATAAGAACTTATATGATGTTAATCTTTTATTATTGTTTTCCATAAAAACTAGATGAATGTTATCAAAGTGGGAAATGTTCCCAGATGCATGAATCATATGGGTTTGGTTTGTTGTTTTTGGAACTGGGATGGGCAGAAATCTATGACTATGTTTTACTAAAGTACTCCTAATCTCTCTACCTAATTTATTTGCAAGGGATTTTTGCATTCTTCCAATGAAACTGTTCCAAATTAAATTAAGTATAGCAGAGAGATGTGCTCTAAACAAGTAAAAGTATGGAACTATTCCTTCAAGGAAAAAAATTATGCGTGCTTGCTTTTACTTCAGTGAAAAGTTTTGCTGTATAGCTGAGAACATATTGCTTTGTTTCCTTTGTAGATATTCAAATACCACAGCCCTGACAATACAAGCCAACAGAGGAAAACATGCTGCTGTGTTTCCCCTTCTTTGAGATAGCCAAGAAAGCTGAGGATTTGGAACTGACCTGCAATACAGACAAGTTCTTATTTTAAACAAACTGTTTTATAATTTTAAATATAATATATAAAAACACATCCTTGTTTTCACTTACCTTTTCAAAGACTGGAAAGTATCTGTTAGTTGCCCTCTCCTTAATTGAGTCAAGATTTTTCTCCTTTGCATCAGGTGGAGAGAAAGGAAACATCAAAATCATTTCCATCAGATCTGATATTCCTTCCACATACATGTCAATCCTATTGATCAGGAGAAGACAGTAGAAAAGAGCACAGAAGTTATTTTTTCTGTTTTCCAATTAACTAAGGCAACTTGGAGGAATTTTATACCACCAATATAGTGGCAATTTTCACAGCCAAAACTAAACACAAACTAAACCTAAATGTTTTTCCAAAATTATAAAAGCCTGCTTCTGTTTAGGAGCATTTCAGAAGCAGTTGTTAAAACTTATTGTGTTAGCTTTTCTCATACCTTTATACTGGATTTATAGGATAGAATTTGGTTTATATAATGTAGCTATCAAATAACAGATTGCTCATTAAGGGAAAGGCAGTGTTACGTACAGGGCTCTCTCCTTCAAGTCTTTCCCATAGAGATTGTATTTCCCTGCTATGTAGCTGAGGATGGCTCTGGTCTGCACCATCTTCATCCCATCGATCTCAACCAGGGGCACTTGCTGGAACAGCAGGACTCCATCTAGGGTAGAGAGTTAGCCTGTTAGTTTCTCCTAGACTGCAAGCAGGACAGGAGAGCAAGAGACTGAGCACATTTCTCTTGCAGTGTAGGAGACCACTGATGTCTTGTCCTAACTGTAAAACTTCATGCAGTAAACTAACATTGTGGGAAAGATCAAATAGCCTGTATCACACTTCTGTAGCTAGGTCATTGCACTGCAGCTGGGCCCTGGCTTTACAGCCTTACCAGAGCTTCACTGACTGCTGGGAGCTGGCAGTGCCTGCTCCTTTGCACTTCTGGACCCTGCCTCATGCTGGCAGAAAAAGCCTGAACCAGCATTTCCAACCCAAGGAATAAGAGGAGAATAAAGATGTATGTTAAATCTGAATTTAAAAAAAGTCTGGTGCAATCTGTGTAGCCACAGGTTGCCCAGGTTGCATAGAATATATATATGCAGCATTAAAAGCAGTTTACCAGTAATTTCAGAGGTTGGACTGGCAAATTAAATTCCGATCTACTTAATACCACTTTTTTATTTTTATTCATTTTAGCTCTATTGTCAGAATTTCTTTAAACACAGCTAATCTTTTCTGAGCTCAGCCTGAATGCCATCAAGTCCTCTTTTGAGTCTCCTGGTATGTCTTGGCAAGCTCAGCCTGCTGTGAAGTTTCTCTCATGTGTCTTGGGCAGCAGGTAAACTGTGGGGCACGTGCATTCTGTGATGCTCCTCACAGTCCCAACTCCTTCCCCACCTTGGCAGCAAGGTCCTCTTCCAGGGTGGCTGTGGTGGGGTTCACTGCTGGATTTCATCTTAGCAGATATCAAGGGCAGTGGCTGGGGGTATGCACTGGTGTTTAGGAACTTATCTCATCTCTCCCAAGGCTGACACGAAGTCTTTGCTGCTTTGACCATGTCAGGCTTTCCACAGGTCTCTCT